CAGTAAATCACCTTGCCAGCTTCATTGAGATGCAGGTATAACACAAGATGGGCACAAGGCCAAAGCCTACAATACCCACACACACACACATATACACTCGTCTACGGGCTCTTGCTTAAACTCGAACATACTTTAGCAATTAAAGGGATAGTTCAGGAAGACGTTACAATTCTGTCATGATTTTCAAAGAAAGCTATTTAGCTTTATAAGACATGGGAAATAGTGCACAAAACATATGGGCTGTTTGAATCAGCATCTGTTAGATAATTACGGGTGTGAGTTAAAGGGAGAATTCATAAAAATGTGGGAGAAAATATAATACAGTAAGCTATATTATTAAATAAGCTAATATATAAATAAAATGTTAAAAATGATTAGAAAATAATAATGATAATGTATGTCAATGACTGAAATGTCATGAGTTGAATTGTGATCTCACAAACAATAAGACAAATTAGAGCTATATTTGGCATTATAATAAGACTTGTAAAATTGTGCACAAAACATATGTTTTAATCAGCATACGTAGATCATTATGGGTGTGAATTGAAAGGATAGCTCATCAAAAATGTGGGAAAAATATAATAAACTATTCAATTAATTAAATGAGTGAATAAATAAATAAATAAATATGGGTGTGAGTACAAGGGATAGTTCATGAAAAATATAAATATAAATAAAAATTAACATATATATATATATATATATATATATACATACATACATAACCATTACACACACACAAACACACATATGTATGTGTGCGTGAAACTACATTTCAGTAAGTAAGTAAATACATAAATGAAAAAGAAATAAGGTAATTATGGGTGTGAGTAAAAGGGATAGTTCATCAAAAATGTGGAAATAAATTCAATAGACTATGCAATTAAATAAATAAGTAGATAAATGAAACTGAAAAATAATGGAACTGTGCCGTGTGTATAAATGGCTGAAATGTCATGATTTGAATTATAATTTCCTTTTTTTCTTTTTACCTCGCAACAATAAGATCAATGCGTATGACCAATATTATAAAAACAAAACACTATATTATTATTATTATGTGTAATAACCTAATCAGGATTGCCTACAATAAGTGATTTTGATACTTTTATGCAGCATTATAGAAGCTTGACAAACGCAGTCACCATCCACTTTCATTGTACGTAAAAGAGCAGCTTGAACCTTCTACTAAATCTTTCCTTTTCAAATTTCCTTTTGTGTTTCACAATTAATACATAAAAAGCAAATGGCATGAGGGTGAGTAGATTACAGGTGTATTATTCATTTATTTTATTACGAGTTTTGTTATATTTTCCCCCGTTTCTGAAGAACTGTCCCTTTAACTCACACCCATGATGATCGAACGCATGGCTGATTTTCAAAAACAAACACTCCAGCATCACGCGTGGCATCTCTTTCGCGCGCTCCGAAAGTACAAGGAAAGCTTCAGAGCTCAGGCAATCAACACAAACACATCCATTTCCTCAGTGTAACGGTGGAGGGAAAGTTAAATTATTATCTTTTCAAATAGCTGCTCTATAACTCAGGTTTACAGAGGCAGAGCGGGGTCGGGGGATGATGGACGCACATGGCAGGGACATAAACTCCCTCCTTTAAATCACTCTAAATGGAAATGTTTAGCGTGGAGAGATGCAGATGAGCTCGGATGCAACACCGCCGAGCTTGTTTTTGTGCTTAAGAATGAAAAACGCCTGCAATGCTTTGACACCAAAGACCAGAGAAAGTGTTACTAGAAACATTTATCTATACATTTATTATATGTTGGATAAGACATGGCCTTGATTAAAAAATATATATAGTTATAATTTTAGTTGCGATAACTATAATTACTTTATTCCAAATTTGTTTCCCAGAATGCATTTGCTCTAATGTGACCATGCACCACAAAACAATTTTTGAAATTGAGATGTATGCATCACATGAAAGCTGAATAAATAAGCTTTCCATTGATGTATGGTTTGTTAGGATAGGATAATATTTGGCTAAGATATTTGAAAATCTGGAATCTGAGGGTGCAAAAAAATCTAAATATTTAGAAAATCGCCTTTAAAGTTGTCCAGATGAAGTTCTTAGCAATGCATATTACTAATCAAACATTAAGTTTGAATATATTTATAGTAGGACATTTACAAAATATCTTCATGGAACATGATCTTTACTTAATATCCTATTGATTTTTGGCATAAAAGAAAAATCAACAATTTTGACCCATACAATGTATTTTTGGCTATTGCTACAAATATCCCCCAGCGACTTAACACTGCTTTTGTGCTCCAGGGTCACATATTATTGCGTGAACACGATCGACTCGAGCTTGGCACTGGCATATTTCTCTGCGTTCGGCGAGGCCTTGCCATCACGACAATCATTTTTAATCCACGCTGTGAGAAAATCACTCGAAGTGCATCAAACAAAAACAAAAAAAAAACCCTGCCAAGCTATACATCGACTCCCAGCAGAAACAATGTCTGATATGATTAAAGATATTACCCTGTAACGCTGCTGCTTGTAAATGATTGAAATGTCAATATGCATGAGTTGAACTGTGATTTCCTATTGTTGACCTCGGATGCAAAAAGTCCAATATTGTGACAGAAGACAACTATATTATCTGTAATAACCTAATCAGGATTGCCCGCAACCAATGATTAGGGCACATATGGTGTCAATATCCCGCTGCTGATTCAATTAAGTGCAATCACAGAGTGTGTGCGGGTTGGTGTGAAAGCATTGGCCTGTGTGTGTGTTTTGGCGATTTGTGCTAGATGCATGTCGGTTATGGAGCCGAGGTGTGAAAATATACACGGTGTGTGTAATGAAATCCACTGACTTCATTCACAAGCTGAAATGAAATGTTTGCTTCGTCTATGCTAACGCGGTCCGTCATCAGAAGCTGCTAAACAGGATGTGTTTCGGTGCATCATACTGTTTGGGAATACTGGTTTGTGTTAGGAAAAGCAAGATTACATGAACGTTTTAAATAGTTGGATCGGTGTGAATATAGCTGGGATTAGCATTTAGTCTGATTTACAGCAATAAATCCATGTGATTTAAAAGCAAACATACTGAAATGATATTCAAACTTTAAAGCTTCAAACTATGTTGTAGTTTTCTAAAGCAGACACCAAAAGTGTCATATTCTGCTAAGCGAATGAATGAATGAATGCATAAACAAAACACATATATATGTGTTATATAAATATGTGTATGTGTATACATCAAATAGAAAAAAGGAGACATACTGAATTGATATTCCCCCTCAAAAAATGTATTAATAAATTAATTATAAACAATGAAAGAATAAAATAATAATAATAATAATATTTTCTGTCTAAAAAGCTGGAACTATATATATATATATATAAAACATACTGAACATACTGAACTGATATTGCACACTTTAAGTTTATTAACTATGTTGTAGTTTTATAAAGCAGATACCAAAAGTATTATATTCTACACAAGCAAAAAAATCTATAATAATAATAACTAAAAAAAAAACAATTCTGGCTAAAAAGCTGATAGATGTATATATATATATATATTTTTTTTAAATAGACATCTGTAAGCTTTTTATATGTTCAGGTTATGGTGCCCAGACGATGTCATATCATAAACTTATGAATTTTGTCTTGTGCTTTACAAAACACAAACAGACCAGGACTCGTTTGTTTGGGTGAACTCTAAGTGAAAGTATCTGCTAATGACATTTCTGAGTTAACTAATAGGCCTTGAGTGCTAGTTATAAGAGTGACTGGTAGAAAAGAAATTAAGGTTATTAATTGCTAATAGCCTGTGAGCTCACAGTCAGGTTATTCTTGACCAAAGAAAGCAATCATTTATCGAACTGACAGTTTCTGTAAATTTTAGGTGCACTTAGGTAAAGCTCCAGTGATTTAGAGGCGAATCTGTTTGTCAAAATCACAGTTTTTGCGGAATATACTAGTTATTTAAATAGCAGTTTAAGCAAGTATATAGTCTCACTAAAATAATGATTAACCAGGGCAGCGAAACTAAACTGTCGTCGTGTGATAAGATGTGTTTAAACTGCGCGGTGGACCAAATGAGATTTTATTGCTTGCGAAGCAAGTAACAGAAATGAATGATAAAAAAAGGGCAAAGGGGGGAAAAAAGGTTTCCCTCCTGAAATCAAGTGCTATTTAAATATAGGTTTTTGCTTGTAAATTAATTTTTAGATTATGTCGAATCTGTCTTTAGTGAATTATTGAAATGTTCTGATATAAACTCGCGAGCGCATTTTGTCATGCTTACCAAACAGTGTAGCTGTACACCAAGTTATGCTGGCTTTTTTCAAATATAAACAATTGTATCTGTCATGTGTTATTTTAGTTCAATTACATTTAAAGCAAATCCGATTTAATAAGAGGATATTTGCTCATCTCGTGAAACTCGGCAACAAGTGAAATCGTGAACTTTCCTCAGACATTAAAAATCATAAACTCTTTATTTAATTTCCCAATCAGCATGTAATATTAGAGTCTCACATTTTAGGCGTGCTCTAATCACCTCCTCTTTGCTGACCCCCCGCAGCTGCCGGTTGAGCTCGCGCACGGTCATGGACACCAGCTGCTCGTCCGAGAAGCGATCGTCCAGGTCCAGGTGCATGTGCTGGTGGCTGGCGGGGTTGCCGCTGGACTGCACGCCGGGCGTCGGATGGTGCCCGCCCGGGTGGTGGTGGTGATGGTGGTGGTGGTGCGGCGCGCCGTTCTGGGCTGCGGCGGCCGCGATGACCGCGGAGACCACCGCCGCGGCGGATCCCATCTCCTCGCCGGCCATGGCGCCTCCCGCGCCGGCTGCGCCGGCGAACTGCTGCCCTCTAGCATAGCCGTCGAAGCTCTGGAGCTGGTGACTGCTGTTGATCAGCGCCTCCACCGCGTCCTCGGGGCTGAAGCCCAAAGCCTCTGGGTTGAGCTGCTGTTGGTAACCGGTCATCCAGTAGAAATCCTCCAGGTGCGCCTTCTGTTCGCTCCCGGAGCCCGGGCTGGGCGCCGAGAAGCTTGGGGAAGGGGGAACCGAGCTGCAAGGCGTGCTCATCGGGGTGGAAGACAGGGATCCCCCGGCGATCAGGCGGCTGCACTGGCTGATGCTGCGATCGGGCTCCACCGGCTCCTTTTTCACTTCAAACTTCATCAGATCGAAGTCATTAACATATTCCATGGCCAGGGGACTGGTGGGCAGGTCGGAGCTGCTCATTGCCAGTTCTGATGCCATCCTTTTGCTGTTGACAGTCCTCCAAAGGGGGTGAAGAGCAGCTGTCAAAGTGGTCGGGTTCGAGACAGCGTGAGCCAGCTTGATTTCTTTATTTAATTCTTCAAAAGCGGAGAAAAGGGTTCGCCGGCGCCGATTTTTTTTTTTTTAAATTGACGCCTTTTCGCCTTTCGCGCAACAGCCGCAGGAGCGCGCGCGTCTCCAGTTCCTCTCTCTTTGTGCGCGAGTGTCGACGCGTTTGAGTTGCAAACATTTAACACTGCATGGCTGCGTGGCGCCCTTTTTTTCAATAGTTTCGTTGAAATGAAGACCGTAACATGTATGTGATTGGCAATTGGATGCTTGGCTGGAAAAAAAAAAGTACTCCGGGCTTGTTCTGGAGTTTTTAAAGCATCACCGAGCATAGGAGTATAAAAGCAATGCTGAGTTTTATAGCCGCCCTGACGTCAGGTTTGAAATACGAAATTGACTCGGACTCGTAGCCAATAGGCTCGCTGAATCCGACGGTCAATTTACATACTAGAGAAGAAACAAAAGTTTCCCGAACTGTCAGAACTGACAGAGAGCTAAACGACGACTTTAACTCTTTATGGACAGCGATTTTGTTTTTGCTGTTTAAAGCAGGTAAAGCATCTTTTCATTCATTGCATTTTCTCCCCACACTGCCTATTGTTTAAAACGGTATGCTTTCTAACAGTATGCAATCATAATTATTTATACATGATATAGGCCTATTAATAACCTTAAAAAGATAATTTACACTTAAGCTATAAATGCTTGTTTAAAGGACTATATTATTGACATTTCTTAAAAGCAATCATTTATAGTCATTATGGAAGTCTATAAATGTCACGCAAGTAATGTATTAATTACGTTATCGGTTGAGGCATCCTACTAAAATGTTTAATAATAGGTCTAATCTTTTAGGCATACTGGATAGAAAAAGAAATGCACGACGCATATATTAGCGACAGATATAACTACTAAAGCAATTAAAATGGCCATATGGTTTCCACAGAGTACGCGTCTTTATGTTGTTTTAATGTTAATATATAGATTTATTCGATTTTTTTTTCCTCCACTTGTCCCACAAAACGTGGTCGGGAAGCCCGTACATGCGAGCGGACATGCGGTTTGAAAACTCAACAGCGCCCCCTTTCGGCTTGAGCTGAAGCGCATCTGTTCATTAGCGGAGTGATTCATCTCTGTGTGTCAGATCATGTTTAGATTGTTTGAACGGCGCTGGAGGCACTTGGGGAGCAGTTTTATGATGACATATTCATAGATTTTTACATAAAAAAATATGTGTATAATGTATATATATATATATAATGTATGTGTGTGTGTGTGTGTGTGTATATATATATATATATATATATATATATATATATATATATA